AGATCTCCTATATAAACATTTTTCTGGCTTTTGGCAAAACCTCTTTTTTGGAGTCATAGTTTTGAATTTAGTTCTCCGTTATTATTTGAAAAAATTATTGTTATTATCTTAAACTTTTTACTATCATTTTGAAGTTATTATTATTATTTTTCGTTACCTTTTATCTCTGATCCTTATACAGATACAAAAAATCTTTTCGAACACTTCGTCATTTTCTCACTGCAGCAAAAAAAAAACGAGAAAGAAGAAACTTGAGATCTCTCAAGTTTGGAGAATACAGAACAACTGAGCAATGGAATGGCTATGGATATAAGGTTAATGTTAATGATGTTCATTGCAAATTCTTATAACGTAATTCGAATGAGAATTTCTTCAAAATCGTAGATATCTGTTTTGCCGCCTTTTGACGAGATATGTCCTTCTTGTTATTATTTATTCGTTTTTTCTCCCACTAAACTTTATAGTCTCATCCATCGAGCGCGCAATTGTATGAACACTTTGCCTCTGCTTTATCACGATGGCCAAAATGACTGATAAGAAGCATTTAGAAGGTCGACTCATTTTCCAAAGTGCACGTATATCGTCTGTCCGAATTCTATTTAACATCAGAATTGGGCAAAATTGACAATGAAGAGGTATAAGGGCAGTCAAAGTAAAAAACCATTTCGCAAACACAAATTTAGAAAACTCTAAAGTCCGTTTGTGAAGATCTCTTGCAGACAGCAGTTTTTAATTAGTCTTTTCGTATGAAAATTCTATCCGTTTTGCATAGCCTGATTTTTCTTTGAGGTTATGTGTCTACTAGACTGAAGAAATGCGAAACTTACGCCGCTCTGATGTATTTTCGTGGCCCCCTTCTTTGACTAGGTGTAGTTGATGTAGGAGCAGTTTCATCCATAACGTCTTCTTCCGTATAAATTTCACTTGATTGCGGTTCTCCCGATGGACTGCCATCTCTTGGAGTCATCATCTCTTCCTTAACCTAATCTGGTTAATATAGTACAAGTTCCATGACAAATTCTTACCTTGCTCATTGTACCCGGTTGAGACATATCAAATGCAGATTCATCGGCGATATCAGGGTGATGATCAAGTTCGAGGTCTTCATCGTCTAAAAATATGAAAAATAGATTTTAGCGCCATTTTAATTGTTATTTTTATGGATAGGCAGACTCACTATTTGCACTGGCAGCACCATTTAGGCCAGCTCTAACTCTACGGCATTCATATAACTGATGCAGATATGACGGCAGACTGTTGATGACCGCCTCGTGCCCTTCATGAATTCGCGCTCGCTCAAATAGAATGCATCTTATAACAATCGATCACACAGTGAATGTTTTCTGAAAATGTGTTTCGCTGTGGCGACAAACCTCATGTTTTCGTACACGTTTACAATCGGCTCGAAGACGTTCCTCAATCTGTTTTTCGGTACGCTGATAAAATCCCAAATTCGACACTTCCTTAGCGAATCGCCTTAGCAAGGTTTTCTTGTCGTTGTGATGTTTTCCTGCTGAAGCGCGGATAAATTCACGCTTTATATGAGAGAGCGACTCTTGGAAACTCGTACATTCGCTAGTCTTTCCTCGTCCATGATATTCTTCATAGGAATCGCAATAGAGTTTCATGAGAAGTTTGAGCTCACATTCGTGAAACGGTGGTGCTTTCTTGCGATCTTTCATCTGAAGCTTACGAGCTAAGCTCGCTGAAGAAACATGGAAATTGTGAACAGAGAAAGTGCATAAATACGGAACGATTTGGAAGGGTTATGAGGAAAACCAAAGAAAAAACATCGAGAACAAAGGAAATGACTCAAAAAAGAGACGAGAGGTCGATGAGAGTTGAATTTGGGGAAAAAACTTCGTAAGGAAGTGGTATCATAATTTTTGAAGAGTTTCCTTTTCTGAGCGCTAATTATACAACTCGGGGTGATGGTCTTGAGTAATGGGTCTGCTGAAACTAGAGCATATACATAATTTTTT